AAATATTCTGAAGAATAATTTGTTATAACTGAGTACATGCTTCATATATTCTTATAATCTAATGATAAGAATGTTATCACATTTTACGAAGAAACACATAGCAATGCTATATCTTAGCAAATTTTATTGTGTCCTTCCCATCATGACCTTTGCTGAAGAAGATGTTGGTGTAATCTCCATAAAGAATTTTCTTGTAATTGGTTCTCTCCATTCTGTAGCACTTCTTTTAAAGGACCAATAACACTTGTAGCCTTTGGATGCAAGAAGATGGGTACAGAAACCCTATTGTGGCTCCCATTAGCAATCATACAATGTTCTACACTCTTGTATTTGTCATTGCTCATTATTTGAAGTGCATCACCAATATTGATTACTAGAGCTCCCTTAACCGGAGGGATATGAATCCAAACATTAGTCTCGTGTTTTTTCACATAGAGACCACCGATATCATCTTGAAGAAGAAGAGTGATTGTTGAGATATCAGAATGACGTCCTACTCCAATTGAAAGCTCCGGATTGGGACATTTTGGATAGTAATTAAAGTTAATTCGCTTTAAACCCATTAAAAGTTCCTCTGTTTCTTTATCTATCTCTTTTACATTCAATCCTCCCATTAGCAACTTCAAAATCTTCCTTATAACAGTATCACAACTCTTCAAGTACTCAAGTGCTTCTTTCCTAAAAAAAACATTCATAGTATCTACTAGTAAGTACTCCAAGGATATTTGTAGAAGAATAAACGTAAAGGAAGACAAACCAGTTAGCCCGAATGACATGGATAAGCCCATATAATCAGTTAGCCCGAATGAGATGGATCAGCCCATATTTACAAGTATTTTGAGCGTATTTCATAGTTTCTTTTTATGATGTAACTACATATTTATACTCATTTAAAAAAGAATAAATGTAAAGGAAATCAAACCTGCAAGAAGTAGGCCAAAATGAAGTAGCTTCATCATCAGAAACATGGACAAGAGAATAATAATCTCTCCAGCTCAATGTCTTCTCAGCTTCAGGATTAAAGCTCGTTGCGTACCTCACATTACTTGAAAGTGAATTTATATACTTCTTTTTTTCATTAGTTGGTAAATTGAAGAAACGATGGATCGTCTCTTTTATATTGTCAAGAATTTCAATCGGAACACCATGATTGATAACTTGAAAGAACCCCCAGCTTTGTGGTGCTTTGCAAATTTGATCAGCCACTTTTGGATCATCCCAATTGGATGCGTCAATTAATGGGATTGAATTATCGGTTCTTACAATGCTCGTAGTGATTCGTTCCTCGAGTGGTTGAATATATTGTTTGGGAAGTGCTTGAATTCCTATATCACATAGGCCCTTAACTCCATGTCCTTCATTCACAACAAAATCAAACACTTTCTCAGAGTTTGAAAGAATTTTAGAAATCATTATTATGAATGTAAAAGCTAATGTATGAGAAGAATGTGACATGAATGAAAATTTGCAGTGAATTACTTAATTTATGAGGGCTTTAGATTTATGTACGGGGGAATGAATAAAAGTCAATATTAAACCATAAAATATTGCATATTACTTAATTTATAGGGCTTTAAATTGATGTTGAGGAAGTAAAAGAAATGAATGAAATATTCCATATTGGTCTATTCAAGTACATTGCAGTTTCTGAATGGCACATTTAATTCTTTCTATTAGAATTCCAAAAAAAGAGTCCTCATTAAACTTTTCTAAACTTTATAAGCAATTAGAATTAGTTTTAAAATTTCAATGGTTTCTGCTTTTTTAGCAAATTGACCAAGGATACAAAACTGAGATTTCAACTCCCACCATCTAATAAAGTTGTCCACTATTATTTTGTCACAGACCTTAGAAAATAATAAATAATAGAATAATATTATCATATTATTCTTTGAATATATTAAATTTAATGCTGAAAATACATTATGTTAGTCAACATTTTAATATTAATATTTTTTAATATTACTTTGCTTGAAATGTATGGAGTCTAAGTGATGAATTTGTTGTAAGTTGTCTGTTGATTGTCTTAACCGTTGGACATTTATATGGAGCATTACTCCATTAGGAGTTAGTGCTATATGGCACTTCAGTTCAAAGATACACAATGTCGTTCATGGCATTACTGAAAATTTGATGGGCAACTCATAATTTCTCCATTATCTCATTCTTTACTCCTTCATTAATCTTCCTCCATTATACTGTGTAACATATGTATCTCTTAAGGCCATTATCTTTACTATTTACTACACCATTTATTTTTATCTGCATTGCTTGAAAGACTTCTTCTAGGATAAATAGTGGTGGTCTTCTGTCACGACCCAAATTCGGGTTGCGACTGACATTCACACTTACCCTCCTATGTGAGCGAACCACCCAATCTAAACCTTAACATTTCAATGTAATATCAACATAAAGTAATGCGGAAGACTTAAACTCATTAAATAAAGACCAATTCATTAACTTCTAAAATTCAACATCTATTATTCCCCAAAATCTGGAAGTCATCATCACAAGAACATCTACGATCAAACGACTAAACTAAGAGTATTCTAAAAGCTAAAAATACATAAGAAGCTAATCCATGCCGGAAGTTCAAGGCATCAAGACTTGAAGGAGAAATCCAGTCCAAGCTAGAAGCGTTAGCTCACCCTGAAGATCCGGTGTGACGAAGACTGGCTAGAATTACTGTTGAGTTGAAGACGACGGCACGTTTGCTGCACTCCACAAATAAACAAGAAGAAAATATAAAAGTAGGGGTCATTACAAAACACGGGTACTGAGTAGATATCATCGGCCAACTCAAAATAGAAAGCAGTATATACCAAGTAATATCATAAACTCAACTATGATACTCAACATGTAGCAACAACAAGTACTACATCATTAACAATTACCATCAATTTCACACATGAGGACTCAAGCCTCAATACCATACTCATTTGGGAATTATGTTCTTTAGATTGAGCATATTAATATCTTTCAAGATTCATTATCTTTATTTCTCTTGTGTCGGTACGTGACACTCCGCTTCCTCATATTCATTAATCCTCTTGTGTCGGTACGTGACACTCCGATCCCCTAAATCTACGTGTTGGTTCGTGACACCCGATCCCCTAGATCTACGTGTCGGTTCGTGACACCCGATCCCCTAAATCTACGTGTCCGTTT